CGAATATGATTTACGTCTTCTGATAATAATTTTATGGGCTTTTTATTTATTTTTCGTCTCTGGGGAAGTTTATTTCAAGACGAATATGATTTACGTCTTCTGATAATAATTTTATGGGCTTTTTATTTATTTTTCGTCTCTGGGGAAGTTTATTTCAAGACGAATATGATTTACGTCTTCTCATAATAATCATATGGGACTTTTATTGAATTAAAACTTATTTATCGAGTTCGGAGATTTAGGGCCGTTAACTTATCTATTTTGAAGTAATTTTATGGAATTTTCTGTAGTTAAGTTTAACTAATGAATGAAATACATAAATAAACTATAGCTCAACACAGATACGTTAACGGCCCTTAAAGCGTTAAATATATTTATTTATAAATATATCGTCGTTTAAAGTGCAAAACCGCGTATCAACAAAATGCAAAACCGCGTATCAGCAAAATGCAAAACCGCGTATGTGAAGTTGTAGAAATTATTTTCTAGAGCGTAGAAACACTCATATTTAAAAATGGTTCTCGTTTTTAATAAAGCAATCGCATTTCTGGCTAATATATTTCCGGACGAATGGATAAGGATTGAGCCAAGAGCTTGTGTGAGCAAATCCAATTTTTGGCAGCCAATGTCAGTTACGCGGTTTTGCAGAATGACGATACGCGGGGTTGTACTTTAAACGACGATATATATTAAAGGGCTTGCTTTTACGCATTTTTGGTTCTTTGGAAAGGGTTGCCAGATGTTAGAAAATCAAATGCAAATAATCGAGTTCGGAGATGTTTACGTAAAATATTTAACCCACCGTCACCAGATCTGCACGGAGAATTGAAGAGATTGGTATGTAGAAGTGCAATAGGATTTAGTTTTCAGAAAAGGGTTGCAATGTAGTAGAAATTAAATTCAAAATATTAAAGTTATTTAAAAAGTTATATGGGTTATAGCATATGGGTGTCAATCCAATTATTTTAATTATTATTGTAAAATTATTTTATTTTTTAACTATATATAATACGGTTGCCACCTGTTTAAAAAGTGAAATTCAAATAATTGATGTGAAATTTCTTAATCGAGTTTGGAAATATGTACTTGCCACTGGAGACGGGGAAAGGCAAAGTTTAAATCTTCGAACTAAAGGTTTCATTGCACCCTTACGTTTGTCATCCATATTTTAATATATCTTATAATTTATGATTATTTAAATTAAATTAGAATTTTCAAATAGTTGGCAACCCACGTCAAAATATTATTTTCAAACTAAAAGCTTCCCGCTCTTTCGTCTGATGCCGATTGTGATACATATCTAAATTACCTAATTCCCTTAATTCAAGCTCAGTTTGACTCTTTAAACAGATGGCGACCCTCCTACCTGTAGTTTAGAAATGAAGCATTTCAAAACTCTTTCGATTGATATCCATATTGTGGTAACTCATTAAAGTTATTAAATAATTAAATAGTTGGCAACCCTCATCAACAAATTTTAAAAGGTAAACTTTCTTAAACCAATTTTTTCTGACGCTTTCGTGTACACATTTTTAGACTACAACCAACCTCGCCTGACACCCATATTGTGGTACGTATTCCAGTTACCTAATTCCCATGTTCATGTTTAATTGAATTTTTAAAACAGATGGCAACCCTCCCACATGTTGCTTAGAAATAAATCCTTTTCAACACCATTTCGATATTGAAGTAATTAATTTAACTTAATTGAATTAATTTTTTAATAGGTATTTACCGGATAGCAAACTAACATAATTTACACCTTCTCCAAATATATATGTCTTATGTGAAAATTTCGTCAAAATCGGTCCAGAGGTTTTTGAGTAAATGTGTTACACCACTTTTGCAACCTTAATTTATATAAATACGTATACGATTTACTCACTTCTTGTATGGGCGGTGAAGGTGGGTGTAACCCGATGGTCCAAAATTTGGTCATCTCATCACGGCATTTACGTGGCGATTTACTTCGCCAAATTTCAACTTCGAAGCTGCATTAGTTCATTTATGCCAGAAAAATTTAATTAGGCCACANATACGTATACGATTTACTCACTTCTTGTATGGGCGGTGAAGGTGGGTGTAACCCGATGGTCCAAAATTTGGTCATCTCATCACGGCATTTACGTGGCGATTTACTTCGCCAAATTTCAACTTCGAAGCTGCATTAGTTCATTTATGCCAGAAAAATTTAATTAGGCCAAATGTGTATTGGTGAAAGGAGTAAAACTTAAATGCAAAATTTAATAAAAATTTAAATTGAAATTAAACAGCAATTAAAAAATTTCGTGAAATCGGCTGTAAGTGTACCAATTACATTAAGAAAAACGTGGGACGTAAATCATATTCGTCTTGAAATAAACGTCCCCAGAGACGAAATAAATAAAAAGCCCAAATAATTATTATGAGAAGGCGTAGATCATATTCGTCTTAAAATAAACGTCCCGAGAGACGAAAAAAATAAAAAGCCCATATAATTATTATGAGAAGACGTATATAATATTCGTCTTGAAATAAACGTCCAGAGAGACGACAAAAATAAAAATCCCATATAATTATTATGAGAGGACGTAAATCATATTCGTCTTGAAATAAACGTCCCAAGAGACGAAATAAAATAAAAAGCCTATATAATTATTATGAGAAGACGTAAACCATATTCGCCTTGAAATAAACGTCCCGAGAGACGAAAAAAAAATAAAAAAAATGCGTTCGCGAAGGTTCACTGCTGTCGTTCTCGTTCATAGGTGAATGTAAATGCTGCGGCAAATATTCGCGGAAAGCTGGTGTGGATGGAGATACTATTCCATGTGAAGGCAATTTTGTTAATTGCATAAGATTTGCACCGTTCATTCGATTTTCAAAAATGAGGTGTCAAATGAAAGGGCTTGGCCTCTAGATGTGCAGTAAGGACATATTTTTTTATTGGGTTTAAAATTATGATATTTACACCGTTCTCCCGATTTTCAAAAATGAGGTGTCAAATGAAAGGGCTTGGCCTCTAGATGTGCAGTAAGGACATATTTTTTTATTGGGTTTAAAATTATGATATTTACACCGTTCTCCCGATTTTCAAAAATGAAGTGTCAAATGAAAGGGTTTGGCCTCTGGATGTGCAGTAAGGATATATTTTTTTAAAAGGGTGCCACCTACCACCCCTACCAACAAAATTTATAGCGAATTTACAATTTAGTAGCTTTCGAAACTATACCGAGAAAGAAACCCCAATTTTCATTTATAAAAACTGTGCATACATACATATGTAATTGTACGTACTGATGAGATACCTAACGGTTCCTCACTGACTAATATGTTAAACAAATACCAATTCAGACTATATTGGTCTGAGAGCCCCATGGAACGTTAAATCTAAATTGTCAACGTCTGCATGGACTCCTCTTTCTTTTTATAAGAATCGGTGGAGGTTAAGTAACTCGAAGCTGTAAAACAAAATATAATATTTCCTTCTCTAACGGCAATTTTACACGGGGTTTTGTCAAGATTGAGCCTAAAGCCCAATATTTTTGCATCACACGATTGGGCTACCGTTGCACCAAATTTTATATTGTTATTATGTGTTCTAAAGATGCAGCAAATCTGACCATAAATTTTAAGGATAGATCTCAATTAGAGGTGGGCGCGGGATATCGGGACCCGCGGGACCCACGGTACCGATTTCAAAATGGCCGGGATGGGCGGTATCGGGATGGTCTGTAAAAATTTTACGGACGTAACGGGACCAAAATCTTTTCCCGATACTCCCGATAAAACCTCAACCTCTGCAAATTGAGAAAATCTTCCTTGAAAAAGTTGTATAAAATTGGCACTTCTTATGTTTTATTGAGATAATCAGAGGATGCTCGTTTTTTATACATGTTTTTTTTTTTATTTAAAATTAATTTAAAAGACATGTGATTTTTTTAGAGATAAATTTCGGGGCCCACGAGCCCGCGGTACAATTATGAAAAACTTCGGGGTGGGCGGGTTCGGAACTTAGAAATTGAATAAGTGGTTCCAGATATAAGCGAGGAAATTACATTTTGTATGCGAGGTGCCTCATCCTCCTTTCGAATACGCATAACTTTTCGCCATAAGTTCGGTAATCATAACATATGCAGCTGTGTCAAATTTCAGAACGATAGCATACGCGGTTACACAGATTTAGCGAAATAAGAAGTTCACTTTGTATGGGAGGTTTTCAATACCTACCACTTGTCGTCATAAGCACGTTATTGATAGCGTTAATAGCTGTGTCAAATTTCAGGGCGTTAGCATAAGCGGTTCCAAAGAAAAATTATATGAGAATTTCAGTTTATATACCACGCCCCCTTTTACAAAATCTACAACTTTTCGCGGAAGTACAGTATAGATAACATATGTTCCTGTGTCAAATTTCAGGACGTTAGCATTAGCAGTTTTAGGGATAAGCGCTATGAGGTTTCAGTTTGTATGGGAGGTGTCATGCCCTCTTCCAAAATCTACCACTTTTCGCCGTAAGTACGGTTTTGATAGCATATATTATTTTAGGTCGTTAGCATAAGTGGTTCCAGTGAAAGGCGATATCAGAATTTTAGTTTGTATAGGTGGTGCCACGCCCCCTTTTCCAATATTTACCACTTTTCGCCATAAGTACGGTACTGATAACATATGTGGCTATGTCAATTTTCAGGAAATTAGCATAATGGCCGGTTTTCGCTATGTCAAATTCAATGGCACATTTTGTCAAATTAATGGAAACGCTTGCCATTTGGTGCCATTGCCATCTTTTGTCAATCTATGACAAAAGTTTTAATAACAGAAACAGGCAACTCAGTGGAAACACCACAGTCTGTGCTTGTCAATCAAAATATTGTCAAATGGCATCACAAATCAAATTGACAACCTGTTGACATTTTCCCGCATTTTTTAAGAATAAACATACAAAGCAGCAGTGAGATACTAATTGTGCTATTTTTGCAATACATTGGTAAGTGTTTGTTCTTTTAATAAAAACTATATTTTCTGTTTGAATTGCAATACTGTAATTACCAGTAAAGGAAGAAAGCTACGAAATCATCGCATCTGCATCCCATGATAGCAGACCAGCAAGAGAATCCGGAAACTCGAAGAAAAATGGACAAGCGCGAGACGGAGAAATTGAACGAGCACGTACAGCTAAGAGAAGGAACCTGGAATATTCTTACTACAACTTATAAGGATCGAAATTTACGGGAGGCGCTCTGGAAGGAGATAGCTGGCGAAATGAAGATGGTACCGTCCGAAATAAAAAAACAAGTGGAACAGTTTGCGTTGCTCCTTCCGGGTATGTATCCACGGTCCGAGACATTTTATATTTCATTGTTTAAAAGCATACCTGCTATCTATGTTTATTACAGACAACTTTAAACAAAATGAATTCAACAAAGAGGGGACAAGGAGCTTCTACCAAGCAACCACCACAAATCTTCCATTTGTTAAAGTTTCTAGAACCGACTTTGCGATTGGAGGCACCAACAATTTCAAATTTATCAGAAGTATGTATGCATCATTTACAGTACACATATTTTGTTCTATTGTATTACTAATTTCGTTTCCTTGTATGACTTGGGTACTTTGGATACCATTGATGAAAATGAGAACACTCAGACACCAACTATTGTCGCGAAACGACGCCGTAATGACGATTCGTCGTATATTAAAGTAGTAGAACGCGCTTTGGAGACCACGGAGGAAGCTTCCAAGTCGGATATTTGGGATGACATAGGCAGTTTCGTTACAGCAAATGGACGCGAGTGGCTCACAAAGTTCCCTGCATTAGCTGTCGAATTTAAAACAGAAATATATAAACTTGTACTCAGATTCCAAGAGAAGGAAACAGAAGCAGAAATACAATTCTTATAATGCTGTAGCTACACATGCATGTGTATAAGTTCTTATTAATTCAACTTTCTTTCGATATTTTTTTATTTTTCCATTCACTACGAACTTCATACTCGTAATTTCATTTTGATAATATTATTTTTTCAAGTAAGTTTGATGCGTTTAAGAATACAGCCATACTGATGTATTGGCACTTAAAATTTTTACTTAAACTACAAAAAGATTACTTGCAATTCAACCGACAAATTTTGTGATATAATATGCAGTATTTCAAAAGTAATTGTAATCACCGTAGTTATACCTTTATAATCCGAAGTGGGAGTATTTTAGTACTGACGTTACATATTTTGTAAGAAGCAAAGCCATATTTGTAATGTGATTTATAATCTTATAATGCATATTTATGTTCATATGTACATATGTATTTACAGACAAACATATGTACTTCCAAAATATGTGCAAGGAGTAGGAAATAAAACACTCGCACTTCGGATTTTGAAAGTATATTTACGGTCCTTATATTTCCTTTTTTTGTCGTTTGTGTTTTTAAAAATATTTCGTTTCAATATTGTGTGCAAGTAAAAGTACATCATTACGGCTGTCTTCTTAAATACATTAATACAAAGCATCATTATCTTGCATTTCTAAATCATTGCAAAAGTAAAAAAAAGAAACACCAATTTTAAATAAAGTTAAGCAATTTGGATACTGGTATGGAAATAAAAAAGACTGATGCTTTGCATTGATGCGTTTAAGAATACAGCCATACTGATGTATTGGTACTTACAATTTTTACTTAAACTACAAAAAGATTACTTGCAATTATTTTTAAAAATGCAAACGACAAATTTTGTGATATAATATGCAGTATTTTAAAAGTAATTGTAATCACCGTAGTTATACGTTTATAATCCGAAGTGGGAGTATTTTAGTACTGACGTTACTTATTTTGTAAGAAGCAAAGGCATATTTGTAAGTACCAAAGCACTTGAACTTATGTGATGGTACTGATCACGATATGTGTGTGCATATGTACATATGTATGTATGGGTGCTGCTAGGTACATACATACATAGTATGTATACAAATGATAACTCCATTTTTGATATTTGAGAGTTTTGTTGAGTAAATTGAGTGAAAAATAATAGGTACACGACATTTTTACTAGTTTCTACTATTTTTCTTTTGTTTGTTTCATGCTTATTATTTTTTATAAGTACAGCTAATTATCTAACAAAAACCATAAGTCCTAATTTTAAACTTTGTAGAAAAATTTGAAAAATTCAACAAATGTTTACAACAAAAACCAACTTTTTATTAAGAATTTCTAGAAAAATTCTAAGTATGCAGTTTTATACCCCATTACATTTTTGCTCAATAAAATGCAGATTTGAAGTGAGTTTGAGGGTATCAACGCGAGTTCTAGACGCGTGAAACTTGCACTTTATTAAGCTAGAATTTAATGGCCTATAAAGCTGCATACTTAGAATTTTTCTAAAAGTTTCTAATACAAAGTTTAGTTTTTGTTGCAAAAATTTGTTGAATTTTTATAATTTTTCTACAAAGTTTGAAATTTGGACTTATGGTTTTGTTAGATAATTAGCTGCATTTAAAAAAAAAAAATAATAAACAAGAAACAAACAAAAGAAAAATACAAAAAACTGCCCGGAAGCTATTGTTTTTCACATGACTGTGTGTATGTATATGAAATGTCAAATGCAAAATATGTACACACCAGACAACAGCATGAGTTTACTCACTTCCATCTAAACAGTATAAACTCATTGCTGTAAANTTATTAACCAGAGTACATACATTATATGGTATTTCTTTCAAAATTAATGTACTATATGAACTTTTTTTTCAAATATTTCTTAAGTTTCTTTCATGAGTGCTGAAAAGCAACCATGCGTGTAAGAAATTGTGTGCTACCTAAAATTTCACCTCTGGAAACTTTATCCCCATAAAGGACTTCACCACAGTTTTTTTACTGGATATACTGAGCTCTACAAGGTTAGTGAGAAACACCGTACAAACAGTGAGATTCATAGTTAGTTTTGAAATCAGTGTTTAGCTGCAGTGTACTCATTTGATTTCAAATATGGTATATCAATGCCTCTTTCCAAATCGAGTCAAGCGAGTGAAAAATGCTGTTATGAAAAGCAAGTCGAGCAATCGAATGCCACCCATTGACTTCAAACAATTAGTAGAGAATACAACAATTTTGAAAAAAATGGATATTGATGAAGTATTTTTTTAAATATATTAGTTTTACTAAATTATTTAGTTATGAACCTGACGTACATTTATATAATTAGTCTACAAAAGAAATGCAATGTTACCTCAGAAGACATCGGCTTTATAAAAATAAGTTGCTTTATTATTTAAAAATAGTTGCTGTTGAAAACTAACAGATTTGCACAAAATTGTGCTTTTTTTATACCCGCCAGCAAAAGAGCTCAAGAACTTTACCGAATCTGAGCAAAGGTACACAAAAGAGAAATGTTTACCAATTATGAGAACGTTAACTGAGAATTCTGACAGTACAATGGAACCACTAATTGCGGATACACCTTTGTTATCTTCAGGCAACTTTGAGCTGTTTTCAGGTCTTCTTAAACAACCTACCTTTGTGAGCAGAACTGATAAAGCTACTGCAGAGCTGCGGCGATATGAAAATATTGAGGTATATTTTCATACGGACTTCGATATAATTAATTCGTGGGAGGTACACAAATGCGAAATGCCGCTGCTGCATAAACTCAGTCGTAGAGTAATAGGCCCTTATTATGAGCTGCATTCGATTTTCGATCTTCGCTGGCTATCGAAGATCGAAAGTGAAATTCGTATTATGAGCTATGCAAGCGTGTCGAAATTTTCGTTGAGTATCGAATTTTCTGTCGAACAGAATTTTGCTTTCCATGGTGTAGCGAAGTGTTAGAAAATTGTGAAAAATGTATGATTTTGTATATGTTTTCTTACATTTTGGCGGCTAGACACTAATTTTAAACAATTTTTATTAATTTCATGCAGTTCTAACATCGTGAATACTAAACACAAGCTCGAAA